CAAGAAGCCTCCTGTTAAATGCTTCCTGACACACTCCAATGTTCATTTCAGAACTATTTAAAATAGTTAAGACATGGAAGCAGCCTAAATGTCCAATTACATATAAATCAATAAAGAAGAAGTGCATATAAACACACAGATTCAACACACACACAGTGGAATATTACTCAGCCATAGAAAAGAATCAAGTATTGCCATTTGCGGCAACATGGATGGACCTGGAGATTATCATACTAAATGAAGTAAGTCACAGAAAGAAAATATTATATGATATCACTTATATGTGGAATCTAAAAGGATACAAATGAACTTATTTACAATACAAATGTATGGTTACCAAAGGGGAAATATGGTGAAGGGAACAAATTAGGGGATTGGGATTAATATATACACTACTATATATAAAACAATCAACAAGGACCTACTGATTAGCATAGAAAACTCTCGATATTCTGTAATAACCTCTATGGGAGACAATCTAAAAAGGAATGGATAATTGGAAATGTATAACTGAATAATTGAATATGTAAGTGTATGATTTATTGCCAGGAGAAATATCAATAACTTCAGACATGCAGATGACACCATCCTATGCTGGAAGATGAAAAACTGAAGAATCATTTAATGAAAGTGACAGAGGAGTGTGAAAAGTTGGCTTAAAACTCAACATTCAGAAAACAATGATCATGGAAACTGGTCCAATAACTTCATGGCAAATAGATGGGGAAACAAGGGAAACAGTACAAGGCTTTATTTTGGGGGTGCTCCAAAATCACTGCAGATTGTGACTGTAAGCCATGAAATTAAAAGATGCCTGCTCCTTGAAAGGAAAGATATGACCAATCTAGACAGCATATTAAAAAGCAGACATTATTTTGCCAACAAAGTCCGCCTAGTCAAGGCTATGGTTTTTCCAGTAGTCATATATGGATGTGAGAGTTGGACTATAAAGAAAGCTGAGTGCCAAAGAATGATACTTTTGAACTGTGGTGTTGGAGAAGCCTCTTGAGAGTCACTGGATTGCAAGGAGATCCAACCAATCCATTCTTATTTATTTTTTATTTTTATTTTAATTGGAGGCTTATTACTTTATGATACTGTAGTGGTTTTTCCCATTCATTGACATGAATCAGCCATCCAACCAGTCCATTCTAAAGGAAATCAGTCCTTAATATTCATCGGAAGGACTAATGCTGAAACTGAAACTCCAATACTTTGGTCACCTGATGCAAAGAACTGACTCATCTGAAAAGACCCTGATGCTGGGAAAGATTGAAAGCAGGAGGAGAAGGAGATGACAGAGAATGAGATGGTTGGATGGCATCACCGATTTAATGGACATGAGTTTGAGTAAACTCCGGGAGTTGGCGATGGACAGGGAGGCCTGGAGTGCTGCAGCCCATGGGGTCGCAAAGAGTCAGACATGACTGAGTGACTGAACTGCCTGACTGATAATTGAATCACTTTTTATGTATATCTGAAACTATCAACATTGGAAAATAACTGTATTCTAATATAAAATAACATTTAAAAAAGCAAAATGCATGCAAACATCTAAGTTTTACTCTTCAATTTTGCCCTTAATTATAACTATTTTTCTCTATGCCAAAGCCTTTGACCGTGTGGATCACAATAAACTGTGTAAAATTCTTAAAGAGACGGGAATACCAGACCACCTTACCTACCTCTTGAGAAATCTGTATGCAGGTCAGGAAGCAGCAGCTAGAACTGGACAGAGAACAACAGACTGGTTCCAAACAGGAGAAGGAGTACATCAAGACTGTATATTGTTACCCTGCTATTTAACTTGTATGCAGAATGCATCATGAGAAATGCTGGGCTGGAGGAAGCAGAAGCTGGAATCAAGATTGCTGGGAGAAATATCAATAACCTCAGATATGCAAATGACACCACCCTTATGGCAGAAAGTGAAGAACTAAAGATCCTTTTGATGAAAGTGAAAGAGGAGAGTGCCAAATTTGGCTTAAAGCTCAACATTCAGAAAACTAAAATCATGGCATCCAGTCCCATCACTTCATGGCAAATAGATGGGGAAACAGTGGCTAACTTTATTTTTCTGGGTTCCAAAATCACTGCAGCCATGAAATTAAAAGATGCTTACTCCTTGGAAGGAAAGTTATGTCCAACCTAGACAGCACATTAAAAAGCAGAGACACTACTTTGTCAACAAAGGTCTATCTAGTCAAGGCCATGGTTTTTCCAGTGGTCATGTATGGATGTGAGAGTTGGACTATAAAGAAGGCTGAGTGCAGAAGAATTGATGCTTTTGAACTGTGGTGTTGGAGAAGACTCTTGACAGTCTCTTGGACTGCAAGGAGATCCAACCAATCCATCCTAAAGGAGATCAGTTCTGGGTGTTCATTGGAAGGACTGATGTTGAAACTCCAGTACTTTGGCCACCTAATGTGAAGAGCTGACTAATTTGAAAAGACCCTGATGCTGGGAAAGATTGAAAGCAGGAGAAGGGGATGACAGAGGATGAGATGGTTGCATGGCATCACTGACTCAATGGACATGGGTTTGTGTGGACTCCGGGTGTTGGTGATGGACAGGGAGGCCTGGCATGCCGCAGTTCATGGAGTCCCAAAGAGTTGGGCATGACTGAGTGACTGAACTGAACTGAACTGAACTGAACTGAACTCTGAACAATCTTCAAATATATTTATGGTAGTCATCTATGAGTTTGTTGATGATGAAGGGAAAGTGCAAGTCATTTAAAGAATACCATTAGCACACACTTTTAATAAGCTACGATGGGTTGAACAAAGTTTTGGTTTCAGCCAATTATGTTGTATCTAAAAATATAGGTCCAATTTCTCTATCTACATACATACTAAGGTAAATAATATCAGCTTAAATTATATAGTCATGAAGTAACAAAAATCTTGCCACATGATTAGCAGATAATTTGTTTCTAACTATATTCAAGAATTCAGTGATTGGATCTCAAGATACATTTTGATATAAAGACAGATGATTTCTACGTTGAATAGCTTGGTAATTTATCAAAAAGGTGGCTAAAATATCATATATTAATATTTGCAATTAAAATTAACAAAGGAAACAAGTACAGTACAAATGAAGCTCTTATGTAGCTAAAATTAAGTTCTATCTCTAGAGCTATCCTAATTCTTATTTATAATAATCATTGTATTTTTTTTTTTTACTTTATAAATACACTTTCCTATTAAGAGGAGAAAAGCAATTGCAGAATATGTATTTTCACATATGATATCAGGTTGTCTGAAAGATAATTAAAATATGTTCAATTTTGTGAAAAGGGAAGTGTACAGCATCATGTTTGCACCCTCCAAAGAGGAAATTACATTTCTAAATAAGCTTTCTATTTACCAAATGGTATCACTAGCCAAGGACAATCTTATTTTTATAGACAAAAAAACAAAGTGGAAAGTGTTTTGAGAGGCTATTGGAATACTGTCTATTAAAGCTGATCTTTCTTTTCCAAAAGGCAAAATTCCAAAGAGAATCTCTGTCAATTCATAGCTACTTCTTTTTTTTTTTTTTTTTTTTTAACATCAGAGACTATCCACTTCCCTAACTCTTTCTCAGGCATTCCCATATTAGGAAATGTGAATTTTCTAAATAAGAAAACACTAAGAATAAAATATTTTTTCCATGCATCAACTTTTATTACTCTGACTCAGTGTCCTATGAAGGTTTTTTGTCATCTTGTTTCCTGACTTAATCAGGAAACCTAAGGTATGAATGATAGCATATTAAAAATGAAGAAACAAAGACTCAACACCATGGGTGCTTATTTCTCAGATTGCGGTTCATTTTGGTGCTTCTGGGCTGCTTTCCTTCAACCTTAGACCAGGGATGCTTCATCTTACTGTTACAATTCTTGATCTTTTTTGTTTTCACGGTAATCTTAGGAAGAAGATGAACAGACTGGAGCGTGGTACAAGAGTGTGAGTACAGGAAACAGAAATATCATAGTATAGATAGGATACTGTCACTGCCGTTTCTCCAGAAAAATAAACTTATTTGAGGAATAGAGAGCAACTAAATTTTCAATGTTTGTATAGGCTATATGATGACTTTCAGAATAATTTCAGAAAATCACAAATAGAATTGAGACAAAATTTGTTTGAGGTGCAGCATGTGTTTCTGGTCATTTTAAACACTATTTAGAAAAAAATAAGTAAGGATTTAGGATAAGATGATTGAATAGAACCTTGAGCTCACCTCCTCTCATGAGCATGCCAAAATAACAACTACCTGCTAAAAAGTGAAGTGAACGTTGTTCAGTCGTGTCCAACTCTCTGTGACCCTATGCATAGTCCACGGGATTCTCCAGGCCAGAATACTGGAGTGGGCAGCTTTTCCCTTCTCCAGGGGATCTTCCAAACCCAAGATTGAACCCACGTCTCCCTCATTGCAGGCGGATTCTTTACCAGCTGAGCCACAAGAGAAGCCCAAGGATACTAGAGTGGGTAGCCTATTCCTTTGCCAGTGGATCTTCCTGACTCAGGAATCAAACCGGGGTCTCCTGCATTGCAGGCGGATTCTTTACTAACTGAGCTATCAGGGATGGAAAGGGAGACAATTAGGAATATACTGTTCACTTGATTCCACTGGATAGCGTATTTATATAAACAAATTGCATGTACTTCTGTGCAATTTGAAGGGCGTGGACTTCCATATTATCATTTTAGAAAGCTTCCTAAGCTTCTAATTTCTACATTAAAATGATGTACGCAAAAGTGTTTTAAATTAACAATTAAATAAAAATGGTAACTGCCACACAAGGAGACAAGGACCTCACCTGCAGACTTAGGCAGTGCGGCTTGCGGCTTGCAGCTCTTGGTTCACACCCAGGCTCCCTCGGCTGACCGTTGCAGGAGTGCCGGGCCAAGGGGTAGGGGTTGGGGTGCAGGGAGGGCCTTGATGCTCCAGATAGGGGAGGGATGCAGGGCTAGGAGGAGAGCGGGGGCGCCAGGCGGCTCCAGGAGCTCATGGACACGGCACGGCCAGACCATGAGGAGGGGACAACGGTGACGAATGGATACCCGCCCGCAAATGAATACCTCCCGGTCCCAGGGGACGAGCCAGTCGGAAAGGTGAGCGAGGAGACGCAGAACTGGCCTATGGCCCGCTGCCTGGCCTTGAATGGGATCCCTCGGGACAGCCCCAAGGCCGCCTGGGGAACCCCAGATGGGCCGAAGGCTCTGCTGGCACCGGAGGAGGAGACCCAGGCCCGGCTGCTGTCCAAGAACCTGGGCGAGGAGACCCCAGGGGTCAAGGGCACCCTGGTGTCCCGGATTGCGCTCTCCCCGAGGCGCTTTGTGGTGCTTCTGATTTTCAGCATGTACTCCGTGGTGAACGCCTTCTAGTAGATCCAGTACAGCGTCATCAGCAACATATTCGAGGGCTTCTGCAACATCTCTTCACTGCACATTGACTGGCTGTCCATGGTGTACATACTGGCCTACATGCCCCTCATCTTCCTGGCCACCTGGTTGCTGGGTACCAGAGGCCTGCGGTTTACCGCCCTGCTGGGCTCTGGCCTCAACTGCCTGGGCGCCTGGATCAAGTTGCGGCAGCGTGCAGCAGCATCTCTTCTAGGTCACCATGCTGGGCCAGTGCCTGTGCTCCGTGGCCCAAGTGTTCATCCTCGGCTTGCCCTCCCACATTGCTTCAGTGTGGTTTGGGCCCAAGGAGGTGGCCACAGCTTGTGCCACCTGCTAAACAACCACCAATTAAAAATGACTGGAGTCTACAAAAACAAAAACAAAAAAACCCCTAAATCCAAAGATATAAAGAAGAAACAATAACATGGCAGGTGGGGTGCACCTATAATTATGTAGCAGAAGTTTTCACACAGGAATGAGAGCTCTGAATCAAATCAATATCCTCAGACTAGGAATTTGTCATCAGGAGGAGGAGTCCCTAGAACATTTTCTTTTGAAATGCCGTGTGGCTTGAAAGCAGGAGCTCCACAGGACTGGAGGGCCCTCAGAATGTCTTGTATGCATGGGGATACAGGGGAAAAGAAGTGAATTTGTAGCAGCCTGGGCCACATGCACCACTGGTCTTGGAGGGTCTCCTTGGGAGGCTTGGGGTATACGTGGCTCTCTCAGAGATAATAAAAGCTAGTAGAGGTCATAGCAGAAGCATCTTGGTTACTTGGCACAGACACTTGGGTCCACCCAACAACCTATAGGCTCCAGTGCTGGGATACCATAGGCCAAACAAACAACAGGGTGAAAAGACAGCCCACCAATGAGCCGACAGCCTGTCTAAAATCTTTCTGAGCCCAGAGCTGCCTCGAGACTCAACCCTCGATATGACCCTGATCACTAGAGTGCCATGACCCAGTTCCACCCACCAAGCACAGGCCCCTCCAGCCAGGAAGTCTGGCCAAGCCTCGAGACCAGCCTCACCGACAAGGGAGCAGACACCAGATGTAAAAAGTATTACCATACTTCTACCTGTGCAACTGAGTCCACAAATATAGGTCAGAAACTATCCTGGGACAAAGTGGTCACTACTTGGGTGATGAAAAAGGAGAGTACTGCTGGGACACATAGGACATCCCATTAAGATGGCCATTTCTGAAAGGTCAAGAAATGTAAATAATCTACTTCATATATAAAAATGCATACATATACTTCATACATAAAAATACAAAAATAAATATAAAATAAATTTTAAAAGTGAGATGGCAAAGGAACATCCTCCAGAAAAAGCAACAAAATAAAACCCTGTAAGAACAACCATGTGAAATGGAGATGGGAAATCTACCTAAGAAACAGTTCAGAGTAATGATCAGAAAGATGATTCCAGAGCTCAGGAAAAGAATGGATATACAGAGCAAGAAGTGTTTAGCAAAGAGTTAGAAAATATGAAGAACAACCAGAGTTCAAAAATGCAATAACTGAAATTTTAAAAAAATGCACTAGAAGAAATCAAGAGCAGAATAAATGAACAAGAATGAATCAGTAAGATGGAAGACATAGTGGTGGAAATCACTGATGCAGAAAAGAATAAACAAAAAGGAATAAAAACAAATAAGATTAACTTAAAAGACTTCTGGGACAAAGTCAAAAGGACCAAGAATCACATTTATAGGGGTCCTGGAAGAGAAGAGGGAGACAAATGTCCTGGGAAAATACTTGAGATAATAGCTGAAAAATTCCTTAACACAGGAAAGGAAATAGTTACCCACATCTAGAAAGCTCAGAGATTTTCATATAGGATTATCCCAATGAGGAATGAGTCAAGACAAATAGTAATCATACTGACAAAAATTAAAGACAAAGGGAAATGGAAAACATTAAAAGTGCAAGGGGAAAGTAACACATAATATAAAAAGGAACTCCCATAAGTTTATCAGCTGACTTTTCAGCAGGAATTTAGCCGATCCTAAGGGAGAGGTACTGTATATTTAAATGGATGAGAGGGAAAAACCTACAACTAAGAATACTCTATCCAGCAAGACTCTTTCAGATTTGATACAGAAGTCAAAAGCTTTAGAGATAGCAGAAAGAAAGAGAATTCAACATCACCAAACAAGTTTTACAAAATTGCTAAAGAATCTTCTAAGCTGGAAAAGAAAAGACTGGAACTAGAAATATGAAAATTATGAAACTGGAAAGTTTACCAGTAAAGGCAAATATATAGCAAAGGCAGGAAATCATCCACATACAAATATGATATCAAAACCAGCAAACATCAGAAGAGCAGCATATTGGAAATGCATTTGAAATTAAGAGACTGGCAACTGAAAACAATCTTGTATCTGTGTAGCCTGCTATATCAAAAACTCATGGTAACTGCAAACCAAAAATATACAGTAAATATACATACAAAAAAAAAAAGGAATCTAAAGAAAACACTAATGACAGTTCAAATTATAAGAGAAGAAAACAAAAGAGGAAGGGAAGAAAAAAGATCTGTAAAAACAAATCTAAAACAATTAACAAATGGCAATATGGAAATAACATATATATCAGCAATTACCTTAAGTGTCAATGGATTAAATGCTTCAACAAAGACATAGACTAGATGGATGGATACAAAACCAAGACCCATATGTATGCAGTCTACAAGAAACCCACTTCAGATCTAGGAACACATACAAACTGAAATCAAGGGAATGGAAAAAGGTATTTCATGCAAATGGAATAAAAAGAAAACTGGAGTTGCAATACTCCACTTATACAAAATAGATTTTAAAATAAAGACTGTTACAAGAGACAAGGAAAGACACTACATAATGACCAAGGCATCAATTCAAAAAGCAGATATAATAATTGTAAACATATATGCATTCAATATAGGAGTGCCTTAATATATAAGGCAAATGCTAACAGCCATGATAGGAGAAATTCACAGTAACACAATAATTGTGGGGGGCTTCAACCCTCCACTAGCATTGATGGACATACCACTCAGACAGAGAATCAATAAAGAAACACAGGCTTTATTTGACACATTATACCAGATGGACTTAATTGATATTTATAGAGCCCACCATGGGAAAGCAGCATAATGCATATTTTTCCAGCATAATACACATGGAATTTTCTCCAGGATATATCATATGCTGGGCCATAAATAAAAAACCTCAATAAATTTCAGAAAACTGAAATCATATCAAGCATCTTTTCCAAGCACAACAGTATGAGATTAGAAATCAAGTACAAGAAAAAAATAAAATAAAAACAAGACAAACACGTGGAAGCTAAACTATATGCTACTAAACAACCAGTGGATCACTGAAGAAGTCAAAGAGGAAATAAAAAAATATCTAGACACAAGTGAAAATGAAGACACAATGATCTAAAACCTATAGGACATGGCAAAAGCAGTTCTAAGGGAAAAGTTTATAGCAATGCAACTTTACCTTAGGAAACAAACAAACAAACAAATATCAAGTAAACAACCTATACTTACACCAAAAACAACTAGAGATAGTATAAAAACAAAACCCAAAGTTGGTAGAAGGAAAGAAATCAGAGAAGAAATAAATAGAAACAAAGAAAACAATAGAGAAGTATCATTGATACTAAAAATTGGTTCCTTAAAAATATATATGAGGTATGGGGCAGAAAGTTCAGAGATAAACCACACACTTAATGATCATCTAATGTCTGATAAAAGAGGAAAAAATATACAATGGTTAAAAGACAGAATCTTCAATAAGTGGTATAGGGAAAACTGGACAAGCACATATAAAGAAATGAAATTAGGACACTACCTAACATTATACAACAAAATAAAATAATAATGAGGGGGGAGGAGCCAAGATGGCAGAGGAATAGGACGGGGAGACCACTTTCTCCCCTACAAATTCATCGAAAGAACAATTGAACGCTGAGCAAATTTCACAAAACAACTTCTGATCGCTAGCAGAGGACATCAGGTGCCCAGAAAAGCAACCCATTGTCTGCGAAAGGAGGTAGGACAAAATTTAAAAGATAAAAAGAGAGACAAAAGAGCTAGGGACGGAGACCCATGCCGGGAAGGGAGTCTTAATAGAGGAAGTTTCCAAACACCAGGAAACCCTCGCACTGGCGGATCTGGGGGAAGTTTTCGAATCTCGGAGGGCAACCTAACTGGGAGGAAAAATTAAATAAGGCCCACAGATTACGTGCCTAAAAGCAACTCCCAGCAGAAAAGTACCCCAGACGCCCGCATCTGCCACCAGCAAGTGGGGGCAGAACAGAGAGGAGCGGGTGGCATTGCTTAGGGTAAGGACCGGCCTAAAGGCCCTGAAAGCAATTGGAGGGAGCTTTTTTAAACTGTGGGATAGCAAGAGAGAAAATTAACCGGCCGAACACACTACCAGCTGTTCACAAAACAAAGGGACTGAGAAACTCCAGAGAAGAGCTAGCCTGCGGCAGACTGGCCCATCCCCGCCGGAGGTAGGAGGCCGGGGGGAGGGGAAAGGGGCAAACTCAGCCCCAGAGATGGCACCCCCTCGCACACTGCAAACAGGCCTCCAGTTTCCATCCAAAGACTCCCTGAGATTCTGGATGGTTGACATCCGCCGATGGGAGGGTCGCGGCTAGAGGCCAGCTCCTGAGAACAAACACAAGCCACTGGCACCTGAATGGTGCGTGCAGAAACTGAGGCTGGGGCCGTGGAGGAGAGAGGGCATGCCATACCCGGATAGAGTGCGCCCGTCAAGCTGCTGGCTGCCTGAGCCGCTCAGACCGGGGAAGGCGCAAAACGCAGGCGCAACCGAGTCCACGCTTTTGTGGAGTACCCCAAAACTGGAACCACACGCAACACAGGGCACGCTCCCTATAGAGCAGCCGGGAGCCTGAGCAGTGTAGACAGGAAAAGCACAGACACCCGTGAGCAGGGGCAAACCCAGTGTGGCCGG